TTACTGCGGACGCGTTTAGATTGTTGTTGTTGCTGCTGCTGTAATAAGGCATCGACTTTTCTGGTGTCCCCACGGCTCCCCCTCCACCAGTGACACGCGGACAAGACATTGATTCTGAGCGTGCAGCACAGCACGTGGCTCTCGTGGTTGATAATCTTGCCCAAAGAGGTGTGCAGAACGCGTGGTGCTAAACCGAGATGCGAGTTTACCACACCCCAACTACAAACCAAACTCCAATTTCTTCCCTCGTGTGATCATTGGTACATGATCAACTTTTCTGGGGTTATTTTGTACAAAGAGGAGCGAGCGTCCCCCCCCCGTCCCCCAAAAGTATGAAGTGTGTACATGATCGATTACGTACATGATCGATTACGTACATAATCGATTACGTACATGATCGATAACGTCAATCCACTGCTGTACGAAGGCCTCGGCATGCGTAGTGTCGATCATGGGAATTTGTTTGAGCGTCGTTAACCGGTTGAGGTATCGTTAACCAGTGATGTTCTCGGTGTCCGATAACTAAAACTCGGCGGGTTCGTGGTGCAACGCGCTAACCAATGCGACACCGCTGCCCCTCTCATCCTTAAACATCAGAAGCAATCCTGGGTACCGTACATTGATTATGAAAGCCTCAACACCTCAGATTAATATCAGTCTTTATCTTTCAGGAGAGTACTGCTCGCACGCTGTTTCGAGTGTGAATTTTGTTTGCAATTTGTTGGAGAACGATTGTAGTGCATTTACATATCGGCGTGTGGGCAATACAAATGTAAATATGGAGAGCGTTCTCTCATGTGCACCGCTGACCGCTGCACATTTCCACTCGAATGAACCCTATAAAATGATCGAGTGACACTGCTCTGTTAGTCTGGTGATTAATCTTTTTCTGAAAATATAAAAAAATCCCTTCTGTTCAACTAGACGTGGCAGAATTCCAGCGGCATCTTCTAATGCGGCAATTTGCATTTCAAATGGACTCTGTTACCCAGATCTTCCCATACTTGCCAACCCTGCTGATATAAGTGATAGGCTGCTGATTTCTAAAGTCTTTCAAACCCTTTACTGACTTTCAAAACTTACCATACCGAACAAAGTATATACATTTTTGGGATTTTTTTTGTATGCAGTGTAAGGGTGCATACATTTTTGGCAATCACACACGTGTATGGGTGCTAGGTGGATTATTCCATCGCAGGATCATGAGAGATGGCCATGGCTTGGGGAGGCCTTCATCCAGCAGTAGATTAAGCGTGGCTGCAGCTGATAATACAGATCAATGCCTGCACATCGCAGAAGCAAGTGCTATGCAACAGCACTCGCCCATTTATTACTGCCGTTAGAGTGAATAGCAGGTAATTTGTTGTTAATTATAATACATCACTGCCGTAGCTTCTCATTGATCTAATTAGCAAGCAGGCCATGAGAACAATCCAGCACGTTTTTAATTTTAACGTGAATTCTCAGCTTCAATTGTTGACTTTTTTTATCATGACAATAACCAAATTACACCATGACCTCCATTTTTTAATCTACCTGTAGTAAAAAAAAACCATTACCCCCATAAAAATAGTACTGTACAATGATGTGGATTGAGACGAAATGAATTGTGAAATCTCTGGCGTCGCAATTTTTTTTTCCCTTAGCACTTCCAGGAAGGTTTGAGACGTGCGATCAATAATCGTTAACATTTCAGCTGAGCGCCACGGTTCGTGCGTGCTTGCCGGGTGCCTGTTCACAGGCTGGCTGGCTTGAGGATCCTTGCGATATGTTCGTGTGTGTGTGTGTGACAGCAGCCTGCTACGCTTGTCACAGGCCGTCTAAATCAGCATTGTGATGGCCCTTTGAAGCCACTGCGGCACACACACACACACACAAGATCGCAATGAAACGTTTTCACGAGGGTCCCTTTATTTTTGTCCGACATTCAATCTTCTTGCAAGAATATAGTTGTAAAGTCGAAAAGATGACACCGGAATAAATATAGAGGTATTCAAACAGGCTGTGCAGTGCATTTGTACAAAGTGTGCTGCGCGCATTGTGATGAATTATTTAAAGATTTTACACATTTTTCTTCCCCCCACTGCAATCCTTCATTTATATTTCATGCTGAAACATCAATGCTTTCATTTCTGTGAAAAAATAAATATCCCTGCATGGTTCGCGACATCATTGCTGTAATTACATATGCACAGGGTACACCATATATGCATACGATACAGTATACATTTTTATAAATTCGGAGTACTGTATTGATATGTACAGTACATGTAGCACAATTCACACTTTTCATTGCAAACACTTAAGTCAAAACATCCAAGTGATTTCTCCCTCAAATGAGCATTCAGGCCGTGCTCAGCTCCTGTTTAAAGCCGTGAGCCAGTGGTGGAAATTCCACAACACTATGGCAGAGGTGAGTCTCTCCATCGGACGACCGCTGCTGATCTCCCAAAAAAGTAGTACTAATTTTATTGACCCTAGAGGGATGATGGGCTGAGTCAACCCCCTTCTGGTTGTAAGCTGCTGAGCCATCTGGCCCAACTTTATATACACAGCATCATAACAAAAGTGTGCCGTAGCTGACGAGCTGACGTTGTCTTCCTGTCGGAGCCATAAACGAGGCCTCGGAGAATTAAAACTCTCCTCTTAAGGACAGACATTTACTGAGAAACCTTAAAACGTACAGCGTCAGCATCGGTGGTCTCGTTAAAATCCCCAGCGATTATCCGGCATCAACTGTGCATTAAAAGGGCCGGAAAAAATCTATTGAGTGCGTCTCAGCGATATAGCACAAAAAATGCTTCATGCGGGAGATGTAATGGGCAGTGAGGTAGTTTCTGTGTACGTTAATCTTTATGGAGACTTCAGGACACATGACGGCGCCTGAATAGTTATGTGTGTGGCAATTCACACATCTTGTCAGTTGAGCTACTTGCTTAGTGGCGATAAATAACACGATGAGATTTCCAGCGTGACTTCACAGGACTAAATACGCCGAGGGGCACAATTTGCAGTGTTATTGTAAATAAACTATGCGTGCATTATTAATGCATGGAGATTTACACTTCTTATATACCAAATGTAAAATAAAGCTGTAAATTCCACTGCCTCAGTCTTTAACTCTTGCTTATGCCGGTTAACGTGCTGCTATCTTGTATTTCAACCCACCCAGCGGTTATTTATCGTTTGCACAAACGCATAAAATAACATGGATCATTAAACTCTCTTTTGAGATCGACGCCTGCCAGCTGCTTTTAGTTTTGTCTCCATTGATCTCCATTGGCACGGATGTGTAAGCGGGCTGGTTTTTTATGGGAACGACGCTATCAGCGGTGCGTTTCTAGGGAGTTTTTAACGACGGCGGCACACACAGAGGCAGCCAGAACTACTCGGGTTGCCAGGCTGGAGCTGGCACGTTCGGGTCCTGTCGCCCTTCCAGCAGACCCTGCAGAGGCAAGGGATGTGTGAAGCAATTGCTGAGCCTCAAGTGATGTGCGTGGCTGCGCCGGGCAGTCTACTCCAGTGTGAAACAGCATCGTCAAGCAGGGCTGGCCTCGGTGCCATGAGGGCCAGCGAGGCCCTCTCTGTATTCCAAGTTGCGTTTAGAGCATTTGGCTGCTATAAATATCCACCCCAATAAGCCAGGGCTATGATTTGTGGCCAGGTTGCTTCTGAAATAGGGCTGGTTAGCTTAGTGGGCCTTGACCTGGTAAAATAAAATAAACATTTTCAAAATCAGAATCTGTATTTATACTGCATGAGAAATCCGATGAGCTGTGAAGCTCTTTATCACAGATGTCCAGTAGGGGGCGGGACAGAACGTTACGACAAACAATTATGAAACACGATAGGAGTGCAAAGTATAAGAAAGGTAAGTAAATCACTTATATCCTCCTTAACTGTGTTTCTAACCATCACCAGACGTTCCCAAAGCAATCTCGAAAACAGGGAAACCAGCACAGGTGGTAACCCAAGTGGGTACCTAAAGCTAATTCTCATCATCACGTTGCACTGCCAACAATTCAGCAATGTTCGCCCGGGGTTCTGTGCGTAAGTCAAATCGCGAGTTTTGTCCTGCCGTGTTTATAGATGTCAGGCTGAGAATGGGGCACGCACAGACAACGTCGTTGCCTTTACAGGGACTAACGATTTAGCAATTGACTCTGCTCAGTCGGTGTTATCCGCCGAGGGCTTGTTTAATTCCTGCGGCTCAGTATGTATTGAGAATGTCTGTATGCTGAACTTCGTTTGCACCGTTCGTAGCAACACAAATCAAACAGTTCAGAAAGTTGTAATGTGCGCTGATGCCTACATTGTCGCGGGCCATAATTGACACGTACAATAATGATTGACACGTTGGCTTTCGCGACCAATATAATAACATCATAGAGGTTTTTTGTGGAAAAAATATATGGATCGTGTTATTTTCTACGAAAACCCAGGTTTTTTTTTAAATTATTAATAATTGATATAGTTTACGTGTAATTGGCAGCATATGACATCTGTGAAAAAGAGCTTTATAGGTCATCGGATTCCTTTAGTATTAATATTCTGATTCTGATGTGCGTCAAGTATTCCAGGCTATATAGTTGCAATGATTATGAAAGCTAATGCTGAGGGGATTAAATTGAATAACTTGAACGCAATCTTTATTTCTATTGAATGTACGACGAAAGAAACCACAACATGATAAATTTAATTGCAACGTTAAGGGGAACCGATATCGCGAGAATCGTGAAAATTAATGTCGAACCGTGAAATATCGTGCCACGGAACGTGGTATCGTGGATATCATATCGTGGGATATCGTATCGTGGTATATCGTATCGTAGAATATCGTGCCACGGAACGTGGTATCGTGGATATCGTATCGTGGAATATTGTATCGTGGGATATCGTATCGTGGTATATCGTATCGTAGAATATCGTGCCACGGAACGTGGTATCGTGGATATCGTATCGTGGGATATCGTATCGTGGAATATTGTATCGTGGGATATCGTATCGTGGATATCGTATCGTCACAACTCTGGCGTGGAGTAAACGAACGCGCCCCCGCCCATCTCGTCATCATTGCCTGTCTATGACAACGCGACAACTGGGCCTTGTGGTTGTAGCAGCCGAACGCGCTCCCTCGCGCCGACTCCACGTGGGACTGCTCGTTCCGCGCGGTAAGGCGACGTCTGGCGCGTACAGTGCAGGTCACGTACAGTGCAGGTCACGTACAGTGCAGGTCACGTACAGTGCAGGTCACGTACAGTGCAGGTCACGTACAGTGCAGGTCACGTACAGTGCAGGTCTCGTGCAGTGCAGGTCTCGTACAGTGCAGGACACGCCGTCGTCTCTCGCAGCCCCACAATGCAACGATTACTCCGCACGGCGTCTCCACTACGCGTTCACGTAGACCCCTCAGCCGTGTTTGCTCGTCGTGGTATTATTATAAATGATCCCATTACTGTGTTAAAGCGCCGGGCGCGCCGCGTGCTGCAGTCGACCGCCCGTCGCAACCTCCACTGGCCCGCGCCCTCACGGCCAGAGCCGCGCGACCCCGGGGCACGTGGGAGCCCTCTGCCGTGCGGGCCCTGACGAGTGGTGATGGTGGTGGTGATGCTGTGTGGACTGGCGCCCTCTCTCGCCGGTCTTCTCCACTCAACCACGCAGGGCTGCACGGCATAGCGATCGCCCCCTGCTGTTTGCAACGCGTCCTCGAAGGAACGCGCGTGGATGATTTACCGGGTCCCGCATGATCACAGGGATTTGTTTCATGGTCGAGAGAGCCACTAAAAAGCGATATTGTTTTTTTTAATCGCACCCCTAAAGATCAGAAACCGAAGGGCGCGCACAGCAATGCTGGCTATGTCAGCAGCTGCGTCTCCACGCCGAAGCAGGGGGCCCCGTTCAGCACCAGTAGTACTGTACAACTTCCTGAGCAATTATGTCACGGACCGAGAGCACACAGATAGACACGATACGTGACTTGGGTGGTGTGAGGTGAGTCTCGGGGCTCTGGCTTGTGGCAGACACCATCAACTACACGAAGTCCGCAGCAGTAGCAGCGGCAGCGACTTTGCCTCCACATCGAACAAAGGCGGCGGCCGCTGCATCGTGATGCCCTTTCAGATGCGCTTCTGCGGCCGTCTGGAACAATCTGCCTATATTAGGAAGCCGCTTGCAGCTATGCACTTTTCACTCGAGGTTGGCAACTGATTTGTTTAAGTTTGTTGTCCTTCCCCCCGCACCGCCGATTGGCACGGTTGGCTACGTACGGTGCGAAAGAAGTTCAGCGTGCGGTGCAGGGTGTTGACATAACCGGTTGTGAGCCATGGCCAAGTTGGTGTCGCGTTCTCACGGCGTCCCCATCCTCCAGCTCTCCACCTGGCTCAAGTTAGGGGCCGTCCATAAATGACGTCACGCACCTAGGGGGGAGGGGGTGAGACATTTGTGACGTCACATCAAATTGCGCAACTTTAAATAAATATATAATTTTGGTTGAAAGTTTTCGTGACTGCAGGGATTCATATTCTTGGTTCTTTCGGTAAAGTCACCACGTAGAAGGGAAACAATTAAATAATAATAAAATATTACGTGACTTTGCCGTAAAGTCACGTAGAAAGGAAACAATAAAATATATTATTTTATTATTTTATTGTTTCCCTTCTACGTGACTTTACCGAAAGAACCAAGAATATAAATTTATAATTGTTATAACAACACTAATTTTGATGAATTTTCATGATTAACTATTTGATTATTTAAATTTACTAAGGTCACCTTTTATTTATTCCATCAAGCAGCATTTTGCTTCTCCATGGGGAAATTGAGAAGCATAAATTTTGTAATTTTTTTTAATGATTATTAAACATTTTGATTCTAATGATTCTACCAGGGCTTTTCATTCTGGGGAATGAATGTGATTGTTATAATTATACTCTACATTTTGCTTCGTTCTACTACAAAGTTTCAAGTATTTTTTTACAGTTATAATTACTTTTAATATTTTATAATTATAAGATAATTTCAATATAATATTCTGAACATCTGCAGTTTTAGTTAGATGTTGAATATTTTCAAGTGCATTTTATGCTAAATGTAATCTTTCCAACGCCTCATTTTTAATGCGTGTTTTCTCTTACAACATCAGAGTGCAGCGCCACATTAAATACGCACGACAATGACAATAGTTTAAAGAGATTTGAAGCATGGTTTATATTTTGGGAGGGGGGGGGCAGAGCTTTGTGACGTCATATTTGAGGGGGGTCTGACTTTTTGTGACGCCGTGTGACGTCGTGTGACGAGGGGGGTCAAAAATCGGCCAAAATCGCGTGACGTCATTTATGGACGGCCCCTAAGACCGCTGGCTGCATTCTACAATAGACATCTTCCTACAACATAGCTGAAAGTAAATAATAAAACTGGATTTATTTTACATAGTTGGCCTTATTAGGAAAGACAGGAGGTATGAAATAACGTGAGCAAATTTAGGAACCGTGCCAAATACTCTTACACCAGCTGGTTTACTGCGGTGTTGTGTACTGGGGTGTTGTGTACTGCACGTGTTGTGTACTGAACGTGTTGTGTACTGCACGTGTTGTGTACTGGGGTGTTGTGTACTGCACGTGTTGTGTACTGGGGTGTTGTGTACTGCACGTGTTGTGTACTGCACGTGTTGTGTACTGCGGTGTTGTTTACTGCGGTGTTGTGTACTGCGGTGTTGTGTACTGCACGTGTTGTGTACTGCACGTGTTGTGTACTGCACGTGTTGTGTTGTGCACGTGTTGTGTACTGCACGTGTTGTGTACTGCACGTGTTGTGTTGTGCACGTGTTGTGTACTGCACGTGTTGTGTACTGCGGTGTTGTGTACTGCACGTGTTGTGTACTGCACGTGTTGTGTACTGCACGTGTTATGTACTGCACGTGTTGTGTACTGCACGTTTTGTGTACTGCACGTGTTGTATACTACACGTGTTATGTACTGCACGTGTTGTGTACTGCACGTGTTGTGTACTGCACGTGTTGTGTACTACACGTGTTGTGTACTGCACGTGTTGTGTACTGCACGTGTTCAGCCTTGTCGTTTGACACAGCCACATACAGGAGAGGACTTCGAGCATTTCCATGGGCTGGTCACTTGAGGCATGAACACAGACAATGATAAACACGTTTCTAGGCGATACAAACGCGTTTAGTGTCTACTCCTAGCAGTATAATTGGAGTGAAGATGTCGGCTTTGTTATTTTTATGCAATGCACAGCACGTTGAACAATTTACTTTCCGCTAAGTTTGTAGCTATGTGTAAAGAGATTTACATACACACATTTTTATTTGGGTCTTTCGGTAAAGTCACGGAGATAGGAGGAAAAAAAATGTCCCGATGACGATCGCTTGTGTTGTGATCGAAACGTCGTAGTTTGTTTTTTTCTTTCAACCTGTCGACGTGACTTTACCGAAAGACCCAAAGAATATGAATTCCTGCAGTCACGAAAGCTTAAAGTCAAGATTTATAAATGTAATTGTTTTACACACACATGGTTAATCTACAACCTGGATAATTAATCCGCTTACCGATTATTATAATCGGTCTTTAACTCCCGCTCCTATTGTGCACTGATTCTTGGACTTAATTTCATCTTTGAAATAGCGTGACCAAAGAGTATGGGATTCCTGCAGTCACCAAAGCTGCAAATGAAGATGGTACCGAGAGGTGGCGCTGTGCTCGCGGGTCAGCGGTGTTCGGCAGTCGTGGAAGCAGCCTGCTGCTTCGTCCCCACCAATGCCCGCCCCTCCTCCACCTGAGACAAGCTTCTTGTGAAACTTTTTAATTGCAGTGGTTTCCCGAGTGTCCTCGGGCGCAAACAAAGCAATCGTGGACAATCCTCGCCACCCAAACAAGCTTCAGCCACCCATAGCCCACACCGGACAATATTCATCCTCCATGTGCTCCAGGATTAGACGTGCAATGGGGAACCCTATGTCGCATTACAAACCAACATTCGAACGCTACGCTTTAAACTCACTTTATCCACTTAAAATAGTAAGCGGTCTATAAAAAAGCAGACCCGTTAAGCTTCGGCGTTTGCGTTTCCTTTTCATTTCCCGAGTTTGAGCCGTAACCGGAGTGTGCAATGTGTGGCTGGCTGTGCGAGGTGGTGGCTCTGTGACCGTTTCGCGTGAGGTGGTGGTGGTAATTAGCTGTTTTGGGTTACATTGCAATCCTAGAAAGTGTTTGCGCTTTAGGTTTTGTCTGCTGAAAGTCTGGCGTCTGTCTCAAGTTCACGCTTTCTGTGTCCACTTCAACCACAGACTCCACGCGTGGTTTTTCTGACAAATAATGCAATTTTAAGCATGCGGAATGGCCTCTGAATCATTACCAATTTCGCATTTCAGCTGCGAAAAAACATTTAGAATATCATCATCGGCCGTGGTCAATCTACTGGTGGATGGAGGCACCCCCAAGCTGCAACCATCTCTCACGATCATAATAATCCACGTAGCACATGCACTCGAGCTCACTTCCTTTCTGATGGAACGCATGTTCCACTCCTTGGCTGCCACTCAATGTTCATTTACGTTGTGTATTATAATGAAATGGTCGTACGGTACAGGATAACAGACCTCTTAAGTGTTACAGCATCTTACTTCGCTGGACAATGTTAAGAGGGGAGGAAGGTTGCTGTGTTTGTAGTTCGCGGAGAATGACAGGAATGTGGTATGCAGCTTCTCCGCTGTTTTTGTAAAAAGGTTAACAAACATCCACATTTGTAAATAAATAAACACTTACATCACGTACCATAAACAAATAATACAAATGGGATTTTTTTTTTAAATACATAAATTTTTCAAATCATTGTTATGGTGACTAATTGCCGTTGCTTTGCCCTCTGGTTAGGCACAATGTGTTCTGCCGAGAGAGCCCTCTGACCATTCGGTCAGCAAGTGTCGAGCGAAGCAGGTTGAGTGACAGTGATTTTAGCCGTTTCATCCAGCTTAACCAGAATAACAAGAGCCTTTCACTGTTTCAGTACACTTTTTTTTTTTAAAAACAACATGCAATAGTTTTCATGATATTCAGCAACATTTTGTGTTTGGCACAGATAAGGCATTTGAGATCGTTTAAGCGACCAGCACCAAACACCCCTGAAACAAAAAACATCGCAGCTTTTGCACAGCCCG